TTCGCTCCATTAGCGCATGCATTTGGATTAAAACTAAATCGTAAATATAAAACAAACAAAAATTACAGGGGCATTCACTATAAACAGCATTTATTTTAAACGTCAAGCATACACAACTTTATTTAAAGCAGAAGTGAAACTAGCAGACTGTGTGAAATGCGCTAGGCTCTCATTCTGCACCAATACAAACGTGTGCGCGCTGCATATGTTTAGCTTGCTTTAAGGCCAAAGTATACTTCAGTTTTTACTCGTACGCGAGGGTCTGTGTACACTGCGTATGACGCAAATTACATCACCAAAATAGTACGCGTGCACTCGTATGATGTATAACGAGTGGTTTCCTGCATTATTTTAGGAAAACGTTTTGTGATTACAGTATTGTAATATAATGCGCCATTAAAATGAACAATGAAAGTAACAAAAGCTTATACAATGCATTTTAGCAGGTATAATTAAGTGTGGAAATAACTGAAGGTAATATCTGTTTGCTAAATGAAGCCAACTAACATTATTCATATTATTATTACTATTATTTTGTTTCTGTACCCAATATTTAAAAAAAATTACAAATGCTGTGAAAATACAGGTATCGGTATCGGCGAGTAACAAAAATTAAAGTATCGGTATCGGACTCGCTCTGAAAAAAGTGGTATCGGTGCATCCCTAATAATAATATTTCACAATATTACATTTTTTCCTGTATTTTTTGACCAAATAAATGCAGCCTTGATGAGCATAAGAAACTCCTGTAAAAACATTAAAAATCATTCGGATCCCAAACTTTTGATATATATATACACACACACACAATTTTTTTAAATATATATATTTCATATTATAGTAATGAGAATAAGATTTGTTTGCAAAAAAACGGTCCTAAAACCTAAAACCAGGCTTCGCTGTTTTTATGTAAAATACATATACATTTTCTATATTTCTTGCTTTTGATTTTTGTGGTGAAACACGACTTGAAAATCATTTTTGACAGATTTCCTGAGATTCACCCAACAAACATCTATTAATATCCTGCTGCCGGAGGAAACTAGCTTCAACAAGCCCATCACACCCTTCACGTTAATAACCACAATGTCCCACACTTCATTTACTGAGGATTTATTTCAGGCATGATTCATGCTTTAATAAAATGACACGACAGAACGAGCGGCCGTGTTGGAGTTTTCCGGAGGATACTTTCATGACAACAGCATCAGGATTATTAGCAGCAGGAGAGTCGCCGCTAGAGAAATAAGGAAATCACTGTACTGCAAATATAATTAGTGCACAATTATGGCGGTGATGATACGACACCTTCACCTAATGAAGCGGCGGAGCAGCTGTGCTAATCGCTAACAAACGCAGCGACACGCTGACTATTAAACTCGCAGATAGTAAAAAGACACACAAACAGGTGTAGTGTGTAGGCTACATGGACGGATTCAGTCCTCAGGTAAAGACTCATGAAGTGAAAGCGAATGGAAACCCCAGTGAACGAGTGCATGAGAAGAACGAAGCTCCATCTGCTGCTGCATTAGTCACTCACACACACACACACTCGCGCGCACACACTCACACACACTCACACACACACTCGCACACACGCACACACAGACAGACAGACTGACCCGTAGCCCGTGAAAGCGTGGGTTGTTGTAGAAGAGCTTCATCTGTTCGGGCGGCAGGGGTCCCAGGACTTTCTGGATGGTGAAGAGCTGGTCGATCTCACTCTCGCCCGGAAATAAAGGCTGACCGTCGCTCAGCTCGCCCAGAATACACCCCACTGACCACATGTCCACCGCCTTCCCGTACGGAGCCCTGACAGAGACACTGAATATCAGTCGAGACTCATGAACCAACACGAAGAGAATCAACTCTCATTCAGTGAATCCTGACAAGAACATGATCAGGTCATACTTTTAATTAATTAAATAATTAAAAATTAACATTATGTAATTAAATAAATGACATCTAATATATATAATTTATTTCAATTGTATTTGTACTTTTACCTATATTTTCAATATCTATATTTTTTATCTTGTACATTCTCATATTTCTTTTATGTTTGATTTATTATGTTATGTTGTTATATTATGTTTATAAATTATATTAATTATAGTTAAATTATATTATAGATGTTATATATATATATATATACATATATATTATTTACATATTTTGTGATGTTATATTGTTTATTAATTATATTAATATTTAATGATTACATATATATATACATACACTGTATATATTATAATTTATAATGTACTTGTTTTATATTTATTATAATTAATTTATTAACTATATTTTTTATATTTCTTTATTTTTTATGGTGTTTTATATCCTCATAATACTTTTGTTTTATTATATTATGTTGTGTTGTTATTTATTAAGACATTTTGTAATTTTGTTTACATTTATAGATAGATAGATAGATAGATAATTATCAAATATGAATTAAAATAAAATGAAATATAATTATTAAAATTTAATTTGACATTTT